ATTTGAGACAGGGTCTCGCATCTTTGGGCTGGGTCATGGCAGTGGACAGCCACCGATGCCCCTGCCCTATGAACCTGCAACGCTGACCATACAAACAGCCCTCCTTGGTCCTGGAGGTGAATCCCCTGTCCCAGTGGAAGCCTATCATGAACCCTCAACCCTCAGCAAAGGTGACGGATGGGAGACGGTCACATGACCAAGAGTCCTTACCCGAATTCGATGGTATCAGGAGGGAGGCATTCCTCCTGCTGCTGCTGATGGGATTGCTAAACTTGGACGATGATAGCTTGGAGCTTCCAGAACTAAACTTCTTTACAGCATGAGAGCCTGTTGGAGAAATGGAGAGAGAAATAAGCAAGAGCTCTGCCAACACCGTTTGAGTTCCTGGATCTAGCTGAGCCTGAAGCTATTGGCTGGTTATACAAGCCAATGAGCGTCCCATGTGCTTGAGCTTTCCATCTGCACGAATGGAAAGCATCCTGATTAAAACAGGTGGACTGGCTGGGTGCAGTGGCTCATTCCTGCAGTCCCAGCACTTGGGAGGACAAGGCAGGTGGATTGCTTGAGCCCAGGAACTCAAGGCTGCAGTGAGTTGTGATTGTGCCACTGTACTCCAGCCTGGGTGACAGTAAAACTCTGTCTCAAAATAATAATAATAATGAGCTGAGGCTGGGCATGGTGGTTCATGCCTGTAATCCCAGTACTTTGGGTGGCCGAGGCAGGCAGATCACCTGGCCGACATGGTGAAACCCTGTCTCTCCTAAAAATACAAAAATTAGCCAGGCATGGTGGTGGGTGCCTATAATCCCAGCTATTCAGGAGGCTGAGGCAGGAGAATCTCTTGAACTCAGGAGGCAGAGGTTGCAGTGACCCGAGATTGCACTACTGCACTCCAGCCTGGATGACAGAGTGAGACTCCATTTCAAAATAATAATAATAATAGTGAGCTGGATTCGTAGCACATGCCTGTAATTCCAGCTACTCAGGAGGCTGAGGTAGGAGGATTGCTTGAGCCTGGGAGGTCAAGCCTGCAGTGAGCTGTGATGGTGCCATTGCACTCCAGCCTGAGTGACAGAGTAAGGCTCTGTCTCAAAATAATAATACTAAAAGAGCTGGACTGGTGGAATACACCTGCAATCCCAGCTACTTGGGAGGTTGAAGTGAGAAGATCACTTGAGCCCACGAATTTGAGGCTGCAGTGAGCTATGATCATGCTACTGTATTCCAGCCCGGGCAACAGAGCAAGACCCCATCTCAAAAACAAAACAAACTGGACAATGACTCAACGCAGTTAGTTGGTCCTTCACTTGGTGCCCACTGACCAGCAACTGACTTTCTTTGGGGTCCAGGCAGCTGTCAGTATTCTGGTCTCCAATTCCCTCCCTCAGGGTCTGAGGGACACATGGGCCTGCAGTCACAGAGGAGGGCCCCCTAGATGCTCAGCAGGGGTCTTGCCCACCTGGGAAGTTCTTCATGTTGTTGAGGAGCTTTGCAAAAGACTTATTGCGAGCATCCAGGAACTTCATGGCTTTCTGCACCTCCCTGTTCTTTGGGTTCCCACACACCTTCCTGTGTCTCTTGGGGAGGTAGAATCTGTGGTGAGCAGAGGGGGTGCCCAGGTTAGGGCACAGGCTGGGAGCAAAGCTGTGTGTGCACCCCATCCCCCAGCCCCATGGCCTCACTCACATCACAGCAGGCAGATTGCAGCTCCCGCTCACCTCCTGGATCCGGTAAGCCCAGGCGCGCCGGAGCACAGCCAAACCAATGGGGTAGTGGTGGGCCAGGCAGCAGTCCTCAAAGATACCTGCAGCCACACAGCCGCCCAGATACTTGCATCCTTGCACGTGAACTTGGCAGGGCCAGCCACAGGCATGAACCTGTCTGCATACATACGCTCCTACCACAACCCTTTCGGGCCTGGCAGAGGCTGAGGGACAGCCTCAGGAAAACACAGCCTCCTGGCTCACCCCTTAGCTCTGGTTATTGGGATAGCCAGAAGTTGGAGAGGAACCTTGTGTCCCGGCTGGGAAGGGTGTGGAAGCAGCAAATAAGCAGGAGACCAAGGCCACCTCCATTCCTGCTCTGGGGAAGAGGGTGACTCATAGCGCAGGTGCACCCTGAGGAGAGGTCAACAAGACCCCTCCCCAGCCAAGTTCTAACCTCCTAACAATGAGCTGATTGGAGGCCTGGAGCGGTGGCTCACACCTGTAAACCCAGCACTTTGGGAGGTTGAGGTGGGCAGATTGCTTGAGGTCAGGAGTTTGAGACCAGCCTGGGATACACGGTGAAACCCTGTCTCTACTAAAGATACAAAAATTGGCTGGGCTCGGTGGCTCATGCCTGTAATCTCAGCACTTTGGGAGGCCGAGGCAGGTGGATCATGAGATCAGGAGTTCAAGACCAGCCTGACCAACATGGCGAAACCCTGTCTCTATTAAAAATTAGCCAGGCATGGTGGGACATGCCTGTAATCCCAGCTACTTGGGAGGCTGAGGCAGAATTGCTTGAACCTGGGAGGCAGAGGTTGCAGTGAGCCAAGATCGTGCCATTGCACTCCAGCCTGGGCAACAGGGTGAGATTCCCTCTCAAAAAAAAAAAAAAAAAAAAGGCTAGACAGAGATGAAACACACAGATGAATTAGACCTAGTGTTTTCTTCAGGGAGCTCCTGGCCTGGTTGGGAGACAGGGAAATCAATCTATGCAGAGAGGGGGAAGCCCAGCCACTGTTGGGGGTGCCCATAGGAGGAGGTGATACTGCCAGAAAGTTCTGGGAGGGTGAGCAGGTGGAATGAATGAGCCGAGGAGGAGCTGATGAGACGGTGGTGGAAGCTGGGGCACGAGTCACTGCCCAGCTGGCCTTTGAAGGTCTCTGCAATCCCACCTCTGCCAGAACTAACCTCCAGGGGCCAAGCCTGAGTTCCCTGCAGAGCCCAGCCCAGTGGGAGCAGGTAGAGGAAGGACTCGAGCCCTCCATGTGTCTCCCAACCTTGGCCTCTGAGGGCAAGGGGCAGTGCATTCTGTTGGAACCTCAGGCCGCAATGCCAGGCAGGTAGTTTCCAAGGCTGGGGCCCACCTTTACCTCCAGGTATCAAAGGGCCGGGGCTGGGCCTGGCTCTGATAGCAGAACAATCAGATCACAGCCCAGCCCCCCTCCCGGGCAAAGGCTAAGGACTTGGACCCATCAGGCCCAGGTGAGAAACAGGTGGGGCAGGTGGGGGCAGACAGGGCAGGAGGATGGGGCCCTGTCTGCCCCCACCTGCTCCACCTGGTCTGCCACCCAGCCAGGTACCCTGCTTTGGCCACCTGCCGAAACTCAAGAGGATGTAGGACCCACTGTCAGGGCTCCCGTGGGGACACCGCAGGCCCAGGAACTGTCCTTTGGTGGCTGGAATTCTCAAGCGCCTACTCTGAGGTAGGGAGTGGGGGAAGAATGAAAGAGCTCCCTGTTAATGACAGAAACGGTTATTATTGCTGCTACCGGACCTGAGGCCTAGTCTTTTGCAAGCATGAGCTCATTGGACCCTCAAGTCAAAGCCATGCAGTGGGAATTTTAGATTCCCACTTTGCCGCTGAGAAAATGAAGGCTCCTAAAGGTTTAGGAGGCAGGGCGCACTGGCTCATGCCTGTAATCCTGCACTTTGGGAGGCTGAGGCGTGCAGATCACCTGAGATCAGGAGTTCAAGACCAGCCTGGCCAACATGGTGAAACCCCAGCTCTACTAAAAATACAAAAATTAACGAGGTATGGTAGCACATGCCTGTAGTCCCAGCTACTCGGGCTACTCGGGAGGCTGAGGCAGAAGAATCGTTTGAACACAGGAGGTGGAGGTTGCAGTGAACAGAGATCGTGCCACTGCACTGCAGCCTGGATGACAGAGTGAGACTCCATCTTAAAAAAAAAAGGTTTAGGAGCCACTAACTCTCCGCTGGACTGCATGGGGAGTCCACTCCCATCTGTCTCCAGGGCCCTGATCTCCAACCCCACCCCTGTCTCAGCAGGATTAGGACTCTGCAATATGTCCCTGGTAGTAACTGGCTGTGCCCACAACTGGAAGCCACCTTCTGCCTCCTCATGTCTCTAGGCTGTAGGAGTCTTGCAAAGGACTCCATGGAGCTCTGGAAGAAGGAACTGGGGACCCTTCATCTCCCCGACCCCATCCCAGGAGCTACCCAAATGCCAGGAGTTCCCGCATGTCAGGAGCAGGAGAATTCAGTGGAGATGGGATTGAGGAGACCTCTGGAAGAGATAAGAGACAGATGGAGTGGTGGGGGCACGGGGAGAGGGGGACTTGGGAGTAGGCATTGCCGTAAACGGTACCTTGGACGCGGACAGCTGGGGCCCAGGCTCCCAAGAAGCCAGCCACCAGGCAGGCCAGGAGCCACAGGTTCATGCTGCAGGCGGGTTCTCCTCCTTGGGCACCTGGAAGAACAATGGGGCTACCTGGGGTCTTGGAGGGAAGCGGTGAGGACTGAGGAGAAGGAGGAGAGTGGGTACTGGGAACACCCCTGTCTTAAGCCCCAGGCATACAGCAAAGGAAGGAGGTCGCATAAAATGGGAACAAGTCCAGCTGGAGGGACAAGCTGCTCGTCTCAGTCATGGTCAAGGGACTCACCGATGTTCACTGGGTCAAAGGAGCTGATCCCCAACGGGCTGTATGCCAAGCTCTCCTGTCTACAGGACCAACACACTGAGCTTCACTCTTTATAGACAGAGCCCCACCCAGCCACCCCCTGTCCGCCCTCCTCTCTTCCTCCTCCTCCCCACCTGCACTCTCAGCCTCTGGGATTCTCCCTCCTCTACAGCAATCTCTGCCCTTGACCCATTGGCCCTCATGCCTCCCCACTCCCCATCCCAGGCCTCCCAGCCAGCTCACCTGCTTTCTCCAAAAAGCGCCCTTTTCCCTGTTTCCCTCACTTGCATGTACCTGGTGGACACTGGCTACCTGCAAACAAGGCTCAAGCTGCCTTGAGCCCCCAGGGCAAGCCCTTACCTTCACACTCCCTGCCCTTTCCCGGCTGCCTCAAGCTACATGTTCCCTGGTGGGTCCCCAACTTCACTCCATTTCCCTCTCCTTCCACACCACGGTTAGGTAACTTAGCATGCCACAGAAATGCCGTAGTTGTGAGAACAGACAAATCCGTAGAAAGAGAAAGTAAATTAGTGGTGGCCATAGGATAGGGGAAGGGGAGAATGAAGGAGTGCCTGGGAGAGGGTATGGATTTCCTTTTTTTCTGAAATTAGATGAGAATGATGGTACATAACTCTATGAATATAGTTAGCAAGGCAGAATGGTACACTTCCCACCGGTGAACAACCCCAACAAGAAAGAATGCTCCAGGCCAGGCACAGTGGCTCATGTCTGTAATCCCAACACTTTGGGAGGTCAAGGCCAGAGGATCACTTGAGCCCAGGGTTCAAGACCAGCGTAGGCAACATAGAGAGACCCCTGTCTCTATAAAATTTTTTTTTAAATTAACCCAATGTGGTAATGCATATCTGTAGTCCCAGCTACTTGGGAGGCTGAGGTGGGAGGATTGCTTAAGCCCGGGAGGTTGAGGCTGCAGTGAGCGGTGATCATGCCAGTGCACTCCATCCTGGACAACAGAGCAAGACCCTGTCTCAAAAAAATGAAAAAAAAGGCGGCCAGCCACAGTTGCTCACCCCTGTAATCCCAGCACCTTGGGAGGCCAAGGCGGGCAGATCACCTAAGGTCAGGAATTTGAGACCAGCATGGCCAACATGGCAAAATACCATCTCTATAAAAATACAAAAATTAGCAAGTGTGATGGGTGCCTGTAATTACAGCTACTCAGGAAGCTGAAGCAGGAGAATCGTTTGAACCCAGGAGGCAGAGGTTGCAGTGAGCTGAGATTGCATCACTACATTCCAGCCTGGGCGACAAGAGTGAAACTCTGTCTCAAAAAGAAAGAGAGAAAGAGAGAGGAAGAAAGAAAGAAAGAGAGAGAGAGAGAGAAAGAAGGGACGAGGGAGGGAGGGAGGGAGGAAGGGAGGGAGGGAGGAAGGAAGGAGAAAGAAAGGAAAGAAAGAAAGAAAGAGAAAGAAAGAAAGAGAGAAAGAAAAAGAAAGAAAGAAAGAAAGAAAGAGAAAGAAGAAGAAAGAAAAAGAAAGAAAGAAAGAAAGAAAAAG